ATTTTGTAATATGTCTGAGAACATAAGATCTTAAGTTTACAGCGGAGTTTTTGAAAATTCAAAATGTAACTTAAAAACACATTTTGGCAAGTTTGCACAACGATCCTTTAACAGTTTTAAGAGCGAATGTTTGATCAAAACAGTTCTATCGGTACATTTATCAAGGAAATTTAGTATTAATGTATTTGTGTAGTAATTCGGCCATGATTCCAGTTTTCTATTAAAACTCTTTTTACTTACGTAGCGGAATAAGCAGCCTTTCTAACCAAATCGAGAATTATTAAAGTTTGTTCCGTACATCTGAAGGTACTTTTGCTATGCAAGCTTAGTATACCGTTTATTCAACTAGGTGTTTGGAATTTTGGATCCTCACTCAAATTATCCCTGTGTGTGGTGCAAAATTTCGAAAGACAGACTATATGAAATTCACGCATCGTCGGCGTATGACAAAAATACTATACAAAAGTACTATACGGAATACTAGTAACACCAAAAGAAAAACCTTGGGGACCTCAGGAAAAAAAAATTTTTTGGGCAACCTCCGATAGCAAAATGTTTTTGATAGAAACTCATCATTTGGATCCAATATCACCCTCCATAAGTTTTATCTGGGTCCTGTGCTCTGAAGCTGAGATCCAGCATACCCAAAAATCCTGGTTCCGCTACTGTTACTCAAGGACTTTGAAATCGGACGATAAAGTTGGGAAAAAATGTAAATGGCTTTTGTTGAACTGGTGGCGAAAAATGAAAAGTAAGTTTTGTTTGAAAGACAGCAGAAAGAATTTTTGAGAATGGGAAGTGAAAATGGAAGCATTTTCGATCATTTTGATTCAAAATCATATTAGGCCATTTTCTAGCAGAAATCGTTCCCCGTCCTTTAGCAACTAAGTTATTCATTGTATTGATTTTATTTAACAGAACACAAACATAAGAACAACCAGCGCAACAAGGATAAAAAAAATATAGTAACAAAAAATAAAAGTAAAACAAAACAGCGATAAAATACGTTTATACATTCATTGAAATACATTCCTCCATACAGATTAGACCATCCTCACCACCATCTAAACAGAGAAATAATACAGAAAACCCCAGTTTGAATAAAGCGTCACTGAATTCAAAGTTCAGCACATTTTTATTTTTGGCTTTTTTATACATCATTCGATACAGAATTTCACACTGATCAAGAATATCATCCTTTTCCTTCGGTTTTCAACGCTAACTCCGAATAATATTTTTATCGCATAAAAAGTGAGTTTGAATGGAGAAAATAGAATTACTGGCAGAATTCCAATTAATTCGCTCCTGATTCAGAGAAATTGTACTTTCTCAGGCACGAAACAAATTTTTCAGAAAAAGCGATTCATATTTTTGTACTTTAACTCAAGGCCGATAGAGTGAAGCAACAATTAGACCTCCATCTCTTAACACAAAAAATTAGATACCTTTTTCCGGCGACGCCTTTCCTATCGAGCTCTGCTTGTAAATGAATTTTTCTATAATCACATTACATACCAAAAAACTTCAATACACATTCCTTAATTCAGTTTTCAATGATAAATCAGGAAAAAAACGTTTCGAAGCTTCGAAATACAAAGGAGAACATGTTTTGCTGATATTGATTTCGAATTTCTCCTCGTAAAAATCGTCAGCATAAAAGGTGATATTCCCGATCCGCTCGAACCTCTCTTTCGATTGATGTATAAGAAAACCAAAAATAATAAAGCGAGGAACCTTTCAATTAACGGTGGTTTACTTGAGAAAGAAGCTACCTTACCACAAGCATACCACATGCTCCCACTACCACAACGCTCTTCAACAAACACCACATCATCATCACCACGATCTAAATAGAGAAATAATAGAGAAAACGCGATCTTGAATACTTCAGAGAGAGATTAGATTACTACCTTCCTTAAACTCACACCATTCACCAAGGCGCTCTTCAACAAATACCACATCATCATCATCATCAGCATCATCTAAACAGAGAACTGCTTAATACAGCACACGAGAGAAAACGTTATACTTCTGTGAATCACACCAAACAACATTGATATATCATCCATCCAGAAACTCTCACATTCTTGCATTTCATCCCAATCATCAATGCCCACCAAAATATCATCGAAACCCCCTATAATATTGATGGCAAACCTAGTGCACAAGCTTCGTGAAAAGAGCATCAGAATGTCTGAGTCGTACTCAATAAGGTTCATACTGCAATACTGGAAAAAATAGAGCCACTGTATTTTTGAAAGTATTCAATCAAGCTGAGTGACTAGGTCAAATCTAAATAGTGATTTGGACGGTCCTGAAAGTTCTCTACAAATGAAGTATGCGTACCATCTTTCATTACAACGTTACAGGCATCAGAAAAGCAAGAGAAATGTGGTTTTGCTTGTTTTTTAGGCGACTTTTAGCGTTTTTTGCGTAAATTATAAGGCGTCGGTAACACAAAGTTCGAGCACTTTTTAGTTTTCGCTTAACCACACACATTCGGATTCGTCGTAAGCTGCGGATTCCGAATCCGGCCCTATTTTGTCATAGATATCCGGAATACGCAAAAGTTCTAAATTTGAAATTAACCGATGTTGTGCAACGGAGATGGAGTTGAACTTTTGCAACTTAAGACTTTTTAAAACTCATGAACACATAGAATTGCTGCATATACAGATCTTTTAGTATTCTAGTAATTCCGAATTTCTGTATTTGAAGCTTTTAAGAATGTCTGAATTTCTGAATTTAGGGATTTTAGGAATTTCTTCAGTAACAGATTCTTAGACTTCCTGAATTCACAGACTTTTCAGAAACTCTAAACATCTAAAATATTCACAAATTTTAAAAATATTCAAGTTCAAACATTCCAAAAATTAGTAACTTCAGAAATTCTAAAAATCTTCAAATGCAGAAATTCAGCAATTCTAAAAATCAGTTACTTTTAAAAAAAGTCAGAGATTCTTAAAAACTGTGAATTAAAAACTCAGAAATTCTAAAAATCGGTAAATTCAAAAATATTCCGCCATTCTCAAAAACTGTGAAATCAGAAACTCAGAAAGACTGAAAATCGGTAAATTCAAAAATATCCAGACATTCTAAACAGTTGTGAATTCAGAAATTCAGAAACTCTAAAAATCTGATAATCCAAAAACGGTCAGAAATTCTCAAAAACTGTGAATTTAGTAACTCAAAAATTCTAAAAATCGTCAAATGAAGGTAGTCAAAGATCTGTAAATTCAGAGGCTCAAACATGCCAAAAGTCTTCAAATTCAGAAATTCTTAAAATCGATTAATTCAAAAATATTCAGACATTGTAAACAGTTGTGAATTCAGAACTTCTAAAAATGTTCAAATGCAGGCAGTCTAAAGTTCTGTAAATTAAGAGATTCAGACATTCCAAAAATTTATTTTGGCTCTCTTTCCTGTTTTTTGTGTAGAGATTTAGAATCCTTTAGAAGATGTTATGGTATTCTAATTTTGAAAGAACAAAGCAAATTAATTTTTTTGATACTATATTTTTGTTGTTATTAAAAAAAATGTCATACTAATAAAAACACGGTCCATGTTTTCAACGAAAAATCTTCAAATTCTGTTTGCAATGATGACCGATCAAGAGACAATCAGAAAAACAAGAGTAACTAAGCTTTTTAGTTCGTACAATGCTGTTGCTCTTTTACTTCGAATATGACGTCACAAGATTAATTATATACAAAATCTTTCTGTCAGCATATTCGAAAACTGCGAGCCTCAAGAAAAACACAACTTTACTAAGAATAACTTCTGAGTCTCAGCGACCACCTCAAGTCCTACAATCAGCTCCGATCTTAGCAAATGATGAACGACTTTTCTTATTCTTACTCATCGTCTGCAGTACGTCTAAAACCTAGATCATTTATATTGATCTGAGATTTTTTTCATACACTTCTATCTCATATGAGATTTAATACTAAAGATCTCTTGCACCATGTCCAGACGGGTCCGAGGCTGGATGAATCACCAGTCAACTTCTTCACTAATACGTTTTATTTATTGCATTCTGCCGACCGATCTCGTTGTATGTATTACAGTGACTTTGCAGAAGTCCCTTTCAATAAAAAAAAGTCCGCATTCTTTCACTTTTAGCTGTTTGGAAAGATAATCTCGTTTGGCGGAATTACGGAAATAGCGACTTTTGTTCTGAGATCCGCTCTATCCATGTGACGTCCTGTTCATGAAGGTTTAGTACATTATGACTGATTAAATCTTCCGGTAGTGTCAATAAATTGGAGGATGGCCGCATATACTCCTATCAGATCCTGTTTAGCCAATGCTCGGATAGATTCATATTTCAAAAGTATGTGCTCCAACGTAATGTGATTATTATTAAGAACAGTACACAACTGATCAAACGTAAAATTACGAGACTTATCGTAAAGAGCACAGTCTATGAAAAAATGTTTAGTAGTCTCTCTGTTAAAGCCACATGCACATGCCGGTGACTTTTCTAATCCACTTCTAATAAAGAGATTGTCATTTAGTTGAGCGTTATCAACTTTACATCGCGTATGATGTATCTCCAACCGCCGATCACGCATTAACGGTAAACGAAAGGACGAAATAAATTGCAAGACTAATCTGAGTTTAAAATCAGTCAATTTATGTATTGAACGTATGTCATTAGGTAGAAGATTCCATGCACGAATACCATCCCGAATAAAGGATTTCTCCAATAATGACCGACCTCTTAAGTTCAAGAAGATGTCTCCTCGACTGAAACTTCGAGTCGGATAAACCTGCAACCAGCGATTTGGTAACCCACATAGAAAAAGAAGTTGATAGAAAAAAACTAAAACAACAGAAACCGTGTGCCCCCCCAAAAAAATGACTCAAATGCATCGAAGTTTTATCGATGAATGGTAATTTTTCAGAAAAACCGAAGTTTATCCGTAGTATACTAGTATAGTGAGCAGCTTAAAAACCACCTTATCTACTGCTAACGTTCTCGCTATTTTGTCGGCAATATGAATAAAGCAGTATTAACCGAAAGTCTGCCGATGGCGGTTAAACAACAAGTTGATCAAGCAGTGCATCACAAAGAAACGAACAGTATGTATCCCAATTTAATTGAAAATAATGAAGCAATATCAACTACAATCAATCGGGAAAAGATCGAAAACAGAAGAATACAGCATTTGAAACCATTGCAGCTTAATGAAGATGAAATGTTTAGTGTTTATCGCCTGGCATTACACTACGCAAATTATGAACATAATTTAATTAATATACTTGGTTAATTAATGGAATTGATGGGTGTTCGGTCAAACGGAAATTATTCAAATTGTTAATCATTTATTAGCAATAACAAAAGAAAAAATTATCCTGTCTTATGGCACAACGTTTTCTATTTATGACATTTATTTAATGACTTGTCCAAGTGTAATCAGTGCCAAAACTGCATCTAGTGATATGTGCCTTTCAGTTCTGCTCTAAAATACTTTTTTCAAAAACTTGATCACCGAAGTCTCGAGTTACGTCAACAAGTCGTTACGGTATTTTTCCAAATGCAGGTGTACGCAGGAATGGTGATCTCCTCTCTTAGCTAATTGTTAAAGTTGGAAAATAAAAAAGAGAAACCACTTTTAAGGTGGACCGAAAATCATTCCATGACTTATATCAGTATTCTTCAGGGAATTAAGGGTTCCGATTCTTTTAAAAAAAGAGAAGTTACCTTCTTATTCGCTTTCTAGAGGAAGTAGTACCAGCTATTCTGGCCGAAAAGATACTGGGCTAGTTATATATGAAAAAGAAACTTTTCATTTGTAACTTAAGTCACTGAGAGTTTTTGCTTTTGCCGCCTTTTGTTCGGTTTATCAAAAAGTGCAACTTTTTGTCACTTCTAACAACAAACGAAATAACAAAGGTTTGTGACGCAGAACGACGTCTGTCCAAGGGGCGTCTATCCTGTGGGACGTTTGAGGCGCAATGCCTCAAACAAACGTAAGGTGGTACGCTTTTTTGCTGTAGAAATTAAGGTTTTAGATGGTACACTGAGAGATCGAACCTTCGAGGTGGTACAAAATGCCTCAAATATTTAGATGGAGATAGACGCCCTGCATCTGTCTCTCTGTAGAAACGTGATAATTGTCTGTGTGTCTGTGTGCAAAATATGAGAAAAATGACTGTTAGATATTTGTTTTTCTTTTTGTTTCTCTGCAGTTCGGAGACAGATGTCGTCAGAAATCAGTCAGTGTTTTTAACACAAAAAGTCATCTACGAATAGTAAAACTAAGAGAATATAGATAGTCTAACATGGCAAATCGATCAGGAATGTTTCCAGCCTCTTTGAGATCCTCAGAGGATGTCCGGAAAACGTTCTAGCTTTATATTGCCTTGTGCGCTTTTTCCATGGAATGAGAGAAGTTTACAACATTTCTCAGCTAACCTGGGTTATGGGTACATGCACACATTTTCCTTCTGTTAGAAAACTGTACATACGGCAGCTTGATCCGGCAACTTGACTACGGTGGCATAGGATAAAAAAGATGTGATTTTTAAGGACTATTTTATTGAAGGTATTTTTTATATGATATCTCAACATTTTTCGAAACAAACAGAAAAAATCTTCGAAACAAGAAACAAACAGAAAACGTAAAAAACTGAACAATGAATTACTGAAACGTTAGAGGTATCGTCCGAATCTCCAGCTTCCATCAACAAACACTGAACGTGGTACTAGAACTATTACTTGTCGCTGGCAATACCCGAAAGAAAAGCCTAATTTGAGGTTCTCATAGAACAAAATGGTCCAACTTATTTTTATCGTTTTTTTCTTTTTGCTTACGCAATCGTTGTATTCTAATCGCTGACGTGCTTTTCAACTTTTGCTGGAGCCATCGTTTTTCTTCTTTTTTTCTTCTCGCTCCTAAAATATTACGAAGCAGAGTGAATAAAGATTAATATCATATTAGCAAAAATAATTAAACCGCTCTGAAACTTACTAAACGAAGCAACCATTCTTCTATAGCTCGTAAACTTTTTTATCGATTTTCTTTAGCAATAATTGGATTCACAGTCCAATTTCTCTTCATCTTCTCTCCGTATTTGTTCTTGCGCGATTAAATAGCATCGAGGAGGTCGTTTGGATTTCCAGTTTAAACAAGGTTTTCATTGAATGAGTGTGTAACAGTTTTTAGTATATCGAGCAGGTTGAATGTATTTTCGAGCCATCAGCCCGTTGTATTTTAAAATCAAACCAATTACATGTACTCTAATGATACAACCACATGTCTGTCTTCTTCTTTTATCCTAGTTCAACTCCTGTTTGTACATGTCAATGAACCAGAAAACATAAAAGGAAATCACTGTGCCAGAAACAAAAAGTGAAGTTATTCTGTTACCGCTTGGATTAATAAAGTCATGTATCGTATCGAAGATTAAGCAATTAAGATACTACACGGTGTAACATAACCTTTTTCTCCCCCCATACACGACCTAAAAGACACATAAAATAAAAAACGATTTATACCAAATTGAAGCCCGTCAAAAACTGCATCTACCAGTGCAATTAGATTGAATAC